GGCTGCCTTCATTTTCAAATCGCTGTCCCTTAGACTACGCCTTTGATCATTGTGACTACTGGGATCCTCTCAGTCACCTTTGGTACCTCTCTTCTCCCCTTTGTGGTCCACTCTGAATAGCTGACAGGTCCCATGCTCCTTCTCCAGCTTGCTTCAGCCCTCTCCCTCTTCGCTGGTTTTGTGAAGGCTGGCTGCAGCAGTCTTAACCAGATGCCAGTCTTTGTAGCCGTTTTTCTAAGTCATCCAACCTCTTGCTCTCAAATTGTGAACCGAGCCGAGGCACCAACCCCTACATACTGAACACAGTGGGGGACTGCAACTCAGTCTTTCCTGGGACAGGCCCAGGACCTACCGCCTGCTTGCTTTTGTGCAAAGGATTGGATTTTTTTTTCTGTGTTTTTAAAAAGATTAGTCTTTTTATGTGTGTGCTGTGCGCATGTGCGCACATTCGTGTTTTGAATTCAGGTGTGCCTGTGCCCCAGTGTGTGTCAGATCCGAGGACCATGCTCCTTGTTGGTCCTTGCTTCCTGCCCTGGTTTTCCACTGGCTCGCAGGCTTCTTGGCTGTCTCTTGTCTCTGCATCCCATTTCTCAGTAAGAGCACTGGGGTTATAGACGCTCGCATCACTGAATCTGGCTTTTGTGTGTTCTCTGAGTACTCCAACTCAGCTTTCATGGTTGTGTGGCAAGCTTGTGAGCCATCTCCACAGCCCTTGGGATTGTTTTCAAACTACCTTTTACTTCTTCAAGGCCCGGTCTGCATATGGGCACTTTTACAATTTTGTATGTATGAGTGTTTTGCCTGCATGTATGTCTGTGTACCACATGTGTGCCTGGTGTCCGAGGAGGTCATGAGAGGGCATCGGATCCGCCAGAACTGGAACTGTGGATGGTTGTGAACCGCCATGTAGGTTCCAGGTCTTCTGGGAGAGCAGCCAGTGCTCTTCTCGGCTGAGCCAACCTTCTCAGCCTTCAGGTCTTGTCTTGAACACCCTTAGGGTGACGAGAGCAGTGGGGATATTTGTGAGGAGGCTATGGTTGTGAGGTCCCCGTGCGGAACCCTGAGTTGTTATGGGTAGTAGAGCCGTGACCTCAGAAAGTAGACCAGTAAGCTTTCTTAGGATGCTTTGGGCTCCTCTGAGGTGCCGGTGAGCCGGAGCCCCTTAGTGGTATGGGGTGGCCATCTCTGTAGAGTTTGGACCACACTTTGCTTCCGTCTCACATAGGCCTGTGCTGGTTTTACAGGTGCAGCGCTACTTGGAGAAGAGCATGGTCAGCAGGAAGGTACCTCTCCCGCTGTCCTGGCGAGGAGCCAGAGCAGCCCTGCCTGCTTTACTCTGCTGCCCCGGGGACACAGGCCTCTGATTCCACTGTCCATAGCGTGGAGTGGCCTCTGGCGTGGGGGGAAGGGGACTGCAGACTGGCTCGTGGTCTCATTCGGGGTCTCTTCTCATTCTGTGTATCTGCCCTGCTCTCCCCACACATAGCTCTTTGGCTTCACAGAACGCTTTGGAGTTGTTCTTCCGTCTCCCTCGGCCTCTCAGGAGAACCGCCATCTGGACGGCTTCCAGCACTTCCTGAAGAGCCTGCAGTCAGGGCCTACTGAGGGTGAGTTGGGATGGTGAGAGAGAAGAGCCAGGCACAGGCCCTTGGGAAGAGCATGGACTTGACCTGAGGAAGGCCTTCTTTCCCACCCCACCCTTTTCTGCAGACTCCCTGGAGGAAGGCCAGGCCACAGCCCCACGGCCTGCCTCTCCACTGATGCACATTGAGGCCTTTCTGGCAGCCCTCACCACTGCCAACCAGGATGGCAGGGTTATCCTGAGCCGCCAAGGTAATCGACTGCTCGTCACAAAGGGGCCCAGCTTGAAAGGGCTCTACCATACTGCCCCTACGCTGTGTGTGAAGGAGCCACTCCAGGCCTGGAGCTGGCAGTGGTCCTGGAGACTGGGTTTCAGAGGTGCCGAATTGTCTCAGGCAAGGTCCCTACAGAACCTAGAATCTCACGGTTGAGGTTAGATGGGGTTGGACTTGGTTTTTGTTTTCTCGTCTGAGGGTTATGTGATTCTGGCCAGACTCTCTTTGCACCCGAGTCTTCACATAAGTCCATAGTACCGATGG